TGATTTCCAGAACCCATATGGTGGAGAGAGAGAATCAGCTCCTGAAGACTGTCCTCTGATATGTGGATGCTGTGGCACGTCCATTCACATTCCCCCATACATAAATAAAAATATAAAACAAAATTAAAAATACCACCATTTTGCTCCTCAATTAAGCTGGTTTTAGCAAATAATCATCTTCATTAAATGATGTACTCCAGGGCTTCAGCTGCCAGTGGCCGTGCCAGAGGAGCAGCATGTGGCAAAGCTTCATGAGTTTGGCCCACTAGGAAGCAAGGCACTGGTGGGTGAGTGCCAGATAGGAAAGGTCCCGAGGGCTTTGGCTTCAGAGTGTCTCTTGCTATTGCTGTGTTTTTACATGTTTTCCACTGCCATTTTTTTCTCTGGTATCTGGCATGGTATGAATGGGTGTAGGGGGATCCCCACTGCCTTTCATGTAATCTTATGGAAATATCCCATTCTATTGGGCATTTTTACCTGTGGATTATTATGAAGGTGATTTCCTCTTAAGGTGTACTGTTTAAATGAAGTAATGATTTTATATAATAATGGTGTTAGTTTAAATAGAATTTTTATGATTAAGAGTTTTTAACAAATATAGTAAGGGATTAAGATAGAGGTTAATTTAATGGGGAAATTAATATAGGTCAAGGTAGGATACAGTGTTTCCCCGTCCCTGATAAAGCAAGAGCTGCAGAGGGTAGAAAATAGGACCCAGGATGTGTCACACAGCTAGGACTTAGGAGTTTTTCTTGAGGAATCATACAGACTATGGTTTAGGTTAATGATTAAGGAAAACAATTGAGTTCCAGAAGCTCAGTTAGCTCAAATTCTTTTTTTTTTTTTTTTTGGTTTTTCGAGACAGGGTTTCTCTGCGTAGCTTTGCGCCTTTCCTGGAACTCACTTGGTAGCCCAGGCTGGCCTCGAACTCACAGAGATCCGCCTGGGTCTGCCTCCCAAGTGCTGGGATTAAAGGCGTGCGCCACCACCGCCCGGCTAGCTCAAATTCTTTTAATGTTAATGTAGGGAGATGTATTTGGGGGTTTCAGTGTGCATCATAGCTAAAACAAAGCTTTAAATAATGACTTAAGATTTTTTTTTTTTTTTTCGTTTTTCGAGACAGGGTTTCTCTGTGTAGCTTTGCGCCTTTCCTGGGACTCACTTGGTAGCCCAGCCCAGGCTGGCCTCGAACTCACAGAGATCCGCCTGGCTCTGCCTTCCGAGTGCTGGGATTAAAGGAGTGCGCCACCACCGCCCGGCAGGTTAAGATGTTTTTGTTAATGGCTTTGAGGTAGAAAATTTGGGGTGACAATTTAAAGTTTAGAAAGGCACACTTTTTTTTTTTTTTTTTTTTCCGGTTTTTCGAGACAGGGTTTCTCTGCGTAGCTTTGCGCCTTTCCTGGAACTCACTTGGTAGCCCAGGCTGGCCTCGAACTCACAGAGATCCGCCTGGCTCTGCCTCCCGAGTGCTGGGATTAAAGGCGTGCGCCACCGACGCCCGGCCGAAAGGCACACTTTTAATAGTTGAGATCAGGGAACAAAAACAGTGGCAGCCTGGCAATTGTTGATTGATCTAGCTTTCTTGTTAGGATGCGTTGGCAAGATCAAAGGTGAAGATTAATTCCTTGTACTCATTTCTGGCCTCAGCTTCATGATTATAAAAAACAAACAAACAACAACAACAATAACAACAAAACCCCTATTGAAGAATGGGTATGCACCCTGAGGATTTAAAGTAGAACTGACTGTTTTTCATATATAAAAGTTTAGATCTGTGATTCTTTTAAGATTTGTTTAATAAGATTACCTTTTCAGATAAATAATAAAGTGATTGATTCTTTCTTTATAACTGCAAAATGCAGCCTGCCAGTAAAAGAACAGGCTGAGAAAAATACCTTTCTTGCTTATACTCTGTTAAACTATAGCAAGTTGCTTAGGCATGAATATATGTGGGTTCTTGGGAATAATTTGTTTTTCACCTATAATATGGAAAATGTTTAATCATGTGAGGGAAATGAGAAACATTTTGCTTTTTACCTGCATGCATTATAATCATTTATGTGAAAAATAGAATGTAACCACTTTGTAATTTTTATATTGCTTGAAAGATTTTGCTGGGATGTGTAAGCTGTAAAGGAAAAATAAAGATGGAGAGATGACAGAGAGATACTGAAGGGTGTGTGTGTGTGTGTGTGTGTGTGTGTGTGTGTGTGTGTGTGTGTGTTTTCCTTTTTCACTGGCCTCAGAGAGTTAAGTTTTGCCCTTCTTGGCAGTCCCAGAGAATTAAGTTTTACTTCCTCAGATATAAAAGTCAAGTTGAGTGATTAGTCTGCTGACTCTGTGGCTTCCCCTCAATCTCTGAACTGCTGAAGGCTGGTCCTCATAGCAGCATTTAACCTAAAGGAAAATCCAACATACAACCTTCTATATCGTAGAGGTACTTGTTCTGAAGTGAACAGGGAAGACCTCTGCTGTCTGTGGATTTTATCCATTGGCTTTCCAGAGCGGCCTCCCTGCTCCCGCCCCATTCTGTGTGAGTTCCTACATGAACACAGGAGCACAAAGCATAAAGCATACAAATCCATTAGAATTTGGCTTATTTTAACTTCCTGATTGCTTTTGTTCTTCGAAGTGCTTATTTAAAACAAGTGAGGTTAATGGCAGTTACTCCCTTCTCACTCCATCCTCTCCCTTAGTCTTTATTTCCAGGGCAATAAGAACTTCTTGTTCTTTGCAAACAGTTCAGCTGCGACTGGGAGCTGTAATTTGTGTTGGTAGGTTTTCTTTGTGGCTCTGAGTAAGACAACTGTCTGCTATAATGGCTTGTACAGCCACAAGAAAATCACTGTTTATTACCCTTAAAAGAAGATAAACTCTCCTGTTCCTTCTAGCTTGTTTTGAACTTTCTTTAGCAAACTATTCCCAAGGGCAGAATGGCAGACAGCTTAAGGAGAGACAATACAAGAGCATTAGATCTGGGCTTCAATTCTGAATCCATCATTTACTGTCATATAAATGACAATCTAAGTGTGTTTTTTTCTGTATCAAATAGTTATTTGTGAAGACAAAAATGAAAGACCCTGGCAAAGACAGATACTTTGATAAACTGTACTTCTGATTAATATTGTTTAAATAATGCAAATTAGAATTATGAGTTCTATTATATATATGTGATTAAGAAAATAATATTAATTTGCAAGCCATTTATATTTATTTTTTTAAAGTATTTACTTTTTTAGTTTATTCTTTTTTTTTTTTTTTTTTAGCTTTCTTGTCCTTTGATTTCCTTGTCTGAAGGAGTATTACAGGATCATTGCCATTATCAATATTAAACAATCATAGGTAATTTTTGATGAACAGGAATAACATAGGGTTGGGTTCTTTGGGCATTAATCAAACAGTGCTAGATATGTTCTTTTTTTGCACTTAAGTGTCTGCCCAAGATCTTTATGGAGGCTGTGGAGTTCCACTAAATGAAGGAGACTTTGAGAAAGAGAGAAGGAACTTAGAAGCAGGCAAAGTTCTTCCGTATTATGGGGAATGGCTCTGGGGTCTGGAGTCTAGCATCTTTGCCATATCCCAGATACCAATTAGATACCACACTGTTAACCTTTTACAGCCTGGGCCTCTTCATTGCTCAGGTAAATTTTCTCCAAGAGAACTGTGTAGCTAGAGTTTTCCTGCCTGGCCCACAGTCAGGACAAATCTCTCTCACCTGCCAGTCCCACAGCCACTCAGACCTAATCAAGTAAACACAGAGACTTATATTGCTTACAAACTGTATGGCCGTGGCAGGCTTCTTGCTAACTGTTCTTATATCTTAAATTAACCCATTTCTATAAATCTATACCTTGCCAGGTGGCTCATGGCTTACCGGCATCTTCACATGCTTCTTGTCATGGCGGCGGCTGGCAGTATCTCCCTTTCCCTTCCTGTTCCCTTAATTCTCCTCTCTGTTAGTCCCGCCTATACTTCCTGCCTGGCCACTGGCCAATCAGTGTTCTATTTATTGACCAATCAGAGCAACAGATTTGACATACAGACCATCCCACAGCAGAACTGCTTCAATTATGTTCTATTACTTAAAAGCCTAGCCATCTCTTGATGAATAAATACACTGTGTGTGTGTGTGTGTGTGTGTGTGTGTGTGTGTGTGTGTGTGTATTTCTCTCTCATTCTCTCTAAGTGTGCTAGAGTTCTGTAAAGGAACAGAACTGATAGAATTGGCCTGAATATTGGAAAGTGATTTACTTGGTAGTCTGGGTAGTCCTACAGTGGTTGTCTTTACACTGGATGAGCTAATCTGATAGCTAGCTGTTCAGTCCACAAGGCTGGATCCCCATTCAGTACCCATTCATGATACTAAACGCCTGGAGGATTCCTGGAGAGCCACTGGTTTTCACTCCGCATTAGAAACCTGAATAAGCTGGGTTCTGATATCAGCAATAGTGGAAACAAACAGCAACAGGGTTGATGACAATCCAGCAAGACATGAAGGCAAGCAGACAAAACCTGAAAGATGATCTCCTTTGACCTGGGCTGTCTACTCTTAGGCCATATCTTCCTATGTCAATTAACTTGATCAAGAAAGTCCCTTACAGGTGTGCTCAGCAGCTTGTCTCATTTAATTCCACACCCAGCCAAGCTGACAATTAGGGTTAACCCTCACAGTGTGCAAGGATTTATTAAGGGAATGTGTTGGGCCCTGATCCCCATTCCTTGGGTAGCTGTTGCCTTGCTCGCTGACCTTGATCAGATGTCCTCCCTATGCTAATTCCCTTGTGGTTTCATTCCTCCTAAAGAGCTTACTGGAGGTTCCTTGTTTGCATATCCTGCATATTGGTGCAATGCTAGAATGTAAAACTTCTGTAGCGAACTTTTGCCCTCCCAGGTTCTTCCACTCTGCTCTAAGCCTGTATTTAAGGCTTCTTCCCTCCTTCAATAAAGGGCATTCTACTGAGATGAATGACCTGCTGTCTTGTCTCTGTTTTAATCCTCAGCCCCTTGCTCAGACATGGTGAACAGGTAGTAGCATGGGTGCTACAAGGGGAGGTTCCACCGAGATCTGAGAAAGAAGGGACATGCTGAAGGACACCCGAAGAAAGGCTGGTCAGCATTTTAAAAGGAGGTAAGAGTGGGTGAATTGTTATGGGTACAGCTGGTTTGCAGTTGCTCCTGGAGGAGCAGTTAATTGAACTGCTGAAGCAACAGGGAACCACCATTAAGAGCAGGATGGCTAAAGTTTTCATTCAGATTCTCCAGAATGTTAGTTCCTGGTTTCTGGTCTCTGGGAGATTTAATATACCAGACTGGGAACATGTTAAGATTGAATTACAAAAATGCTTGCATACAGAAGGGCCTGATTCCATACCCTTAGCTACTTTCTCTTTGTGGCGCTTGGTTAAAGATGCATTGCTTAGTGATAATGTCAAAGTTCAAGAACAATTAACTGAAGCTAAAGCTGTGTTGGAAAAGGCTCAGGTAGAGGAGGCTCTCAGATCCTTCAAACTTCCGACATTTCTGACTCTGTAGAGTCATCTTCAGAGGGTGATGATGTAGAAGTCAGATTAGAAAAGGATACTAGATGCTTCAGGAATTAAAGCTAATGAAGTAAAAATACTAAATCCTGAAAATGCTTTTTCTTAAAGTAAGCTAATGAAGGATATGTTTCATGAAAAAATATCTATGTTCTTGACTCCTTTGAATAGTAACAGTTTTGGTGAAAATATTGGAACTAACAACAATCAAGTCTAAATGTTTCAACAAATTCAAGACGCTATTTACAAAAGAAAGCTGCCATGCTTTGTAGGCCATATTAGAGCTCACTCCAATCTTCCTGGTCCTGTAGCTGAGGGTAATGCAATGGCTGATAAGTTAACCAAGATAGTAGCATTATCCCAAGTGGAAATGGCTCAACAGTCACATGCTCTTCATCAAAATAGCAAAAGCTTAAGAAAGCAATTCAATCTTACTAAAGAAGCAGCTGGTCAAATAGTTAAACGATGTGGGGTATGTCCAAAATATTTTCCTGCCCCTTACTTAAGGGTAAGCCCTAAAGGTCTTCTTCCTAATTATCTATGGCAAATGGATGTTACTCATAGAGCAGAATTTGGCAAATTAAGATATGTACATGTGACCATTGACACTGGTTAATGCAAACAGTGAGGAAATAGAGTTCAAAAGCTGTGCTGCTTTTGGCTTTACTAGCTCCTTTAGAAAAATACTTTATATCACCTAATAGCTGTGCAGTATTTTGTGAAGAGCTTTATAGCAGCTAAATACAGTAATTTCACCCTCAGCATGAAGTGAAGGTTTTCAGTAGAACAAACCAAAAGTACTGCTGTAATAGCAACTTTTGTCTGAATTGAAGCACTTAGGGGAGCTATTATGAATCTGGGTGAAGGGACAGCCTCTAGTTAAAAACTGTTTACTGCTGACAGTGCATCTCTGCCAATTCTGGAACAGCTGAGAGAACTTGGCAACTTTGGGGTGTTGCTTCGTCTGGAGAATGGTACAGTCCTCTAGCAACAAGTATCACAACTCTATAATGACAACACTTACTAAATCCCAGTGTTGTATAGCAAAGCTGACGATAAACTCTAAACTTTAGAAATGATATACATACTTTCTGTCTAGTTAAGAGAATCTTTCTAATAGAGATAGTGATAATAATTAAGAGTACGAAGTAGAAAAAGCTGAAAAGATATGTGAATTCGTAGTAATAATTCTGTCTTGTTAGATCTGTGTTAAGAAATCTTTAGGTGTTTGCTGAGTTAGATATATGCTAATGATAGCCCTATATAAGTTTGTAAAATAGATCTATAGAGTTTCTTTAAGAATATAAGCTTGAAAGAAGTATCTTAAGACATGTAGTAATAAGCTTGTAAGAAGTAAAGTTGCTAGTTGTAAATGTAAGTTTAAATAAGAATTTGTAAATGTAAGTTTAAATAAAAATATAAGAAGTAAATAAGTAAAGATTCTAGTTGTAAAAGATGAAAATAAGAAGTAAATAATAAATATATTTGCTAAAGTAGTTCGTTTCCTTAAGATGCATAAATAAATAGATATTAATATGTTATATGTGAGTTTGTAAAAAGTATAAATATTGAGTGTGAATCTATGCTTAATGTATATGGTGAAAGAACCTGAGACACAGAAGGTAGTGTCCTAGCAGACTGCAAAGTAGGCAGTCCAGATGGTTTCAAAAGCTCCAGAAGCCACTAAGAAGCTAAGAATGGTGGATGTCAGAACCAGCACAACAAGGCATCTGCAGTTGAGATCCATGGAAAATCAACACAACATAGAAACACCTGAGCTAACATAAAAAAAAACCCAATAAATGGTGCACTTTAAAATATTCCTGTTCCTAAAAATGTCTCTGGCTTGAGAATAAAAGTTGCAGAGATGCTTGTTTGAACTAAATTGTTAACTGCAAAAAGTTTTGGTTGTAAAACATCTCTTCATATTTGGAAGTGAAAGCCTGATACTAAATTTTTTTTTAACTTAAAATAATGAGATAAAAACTACAAAAAGATTTTGGTTATGGATTTCTTCATATTTGAAAGGCTAGTACCAGAATGTATTTGAATTTTGGGACTTAAGAAATGAAATGAACAATAGTGATTTCATTGCAATGGGGTAATTTTGAATTTACTTATAGTAATGACCTGGGAACTATTTTCTGGAATTATTTGTGTTAAAAATGGTACTGTTTAAATGAAGAAATGTATTGTTTCTACCTAGAGTCAAGATGCAATTTTGTGTATGTATATATGCTTTATTAACTGGTGATTCATGAATTGTTTTATGGAACTGTTTTTGTAAAAATGGAATTACTTATGGAACTGTTTTTTGTTACAAATGGAACTGTTTAAACAGAAAAGTTTGGGTTTTCTAACTAGGCTTGAGATTTTGCTTTAAAAATTATAAAGAAAAGGGAGAGTTAATATTCCTTAGTCTATTTAATTTAAAAATATTTTCTTATTTGAGTGGATTAATGTTACATTTTGTTAGTAAGAAATGCAAGTGGGTATACTAAGAAATTACTTTAAAGTGTAAAGGGTTTGATTAAGAAACTGCTTTTGGATGTTTTGCTAAGTTTTCAAAGTGTTAATGGTTAGATTGAAAATATTGCTTTTAAATGTGGGCTTGTAGGAATTGTGAAAGTTTGGTTTGTTTTTCTAACTAGGTTTGAGATTGTTTAAAAAATTTTATAAAGAAAACGAAGAGTTATGAGTGAATTAAGGTTGAATGTATGTTTGCAGAAATTATGTTAACCTATTGATATTGATGCACTCTGGTTTTGTGGAGTTAAGGAAATATTTAAGTTTGACATAAAAACACATCAGAAGTTTTTCCTATGTTCTGTTAGCAAGAAAATTCAAATGATTCTATTAAGAGTTAAAGTTGTAAGACTGAGAAAATTGTTAACTATATATAGCACCATATATGTTAATTCAAATGGTTCTGTTAAGAGTTTGCTTTGAGATGCAAGATTGAGAGAATTGTAACTATGGATAGCAATATTTATATTAACTTGTTACTGGTAATGATGAGCAGCCTTTGATAATACAATCGATAAAAATTCACTTGGAAAAGTGATGACCCTGTATGGGTGAACAGTGGCCCCTTACTAAAGAAAAATTGGAGGCTGCGAATGCTTTAGTTAAGGAACAGTTAGATGCTGGACATATCATTCCTTCCACTTCACCCTGGAACACATCTATATTTGTTATTAAAAAGAAGTCAGGAAAATGGAGGCTATTACAGGATATTAGAGCTGTAAATAAAACCATGCTTCTCATGGGAGCAACACAGCTTGCTTTGCCTGCCCCTGTGGCAATTCCTAAACATTGGCATTTAATTGTGATTCACTTGAGGGATTGTTTCTTCACCATTCCTTTACATTCTGAGGGCAGTCCTTGCTTCGCTTTTAGTGTTCCATTGGAAAATCTCAAAGAACCTTATCAGAGATATCAGTGGGCAGTTTTGCCCCAAGGAATGGTCAATAGCCCTACTAAATGTCAAATTTATGTGTCTTTGACCATAGCTCCAGTTTGAAAAGCTTTTCCAGATGTTTATATAATTCACTATATGGACAATATTTTATTAGCTGCCAGCTTAAGTCATGCTGGGATCAAGAAAAATGGGCCTTGGTAGTTCGTGTTCCTGGAGTTGTGTCCATGCCAGTAAGACACAAATGGTGCTCACATGCTCCAGAAGAGAATTTGACTTCACTGTGGCTGTTGTTGCTACTACAGTGGTAGCAGCCACCGCTGCTACTGTTTCTGGGATTGCTTTTTCACAATTGGTTACTACAGCTAGTACAGTGGAGACCCTGGCAGCAAAAGTAGCTACCACAGTTAATTACTCCTTCATTCTATTGGGTATGATAAATTTAATTCAGCAGTAATATGCATTTCGATTGGCTTTAAAAGTTATGAAATCAATAAAACTTGAAAGCCACTTACTTTTGGGATACCATCTTACAAGGACTCTAATTTGCAATAAGGCTCATTAAAGAAGGGAATGGCTCAATTGCCCTTAGCTACTGGCTATGGGTGGGTTAGGACTTCCATTGGTCTTTCGTGTGTCGAACGCACAGATTGCAAGCCCAGAGCCACTTTTAAATCTATGGCAGCAGTTAACCGTACAGCTCACACATGGTTGAGCCTGAATGATAATGAGTATTCAATGACGGGTAATCCCTGGGGGACACCCACCAACCTAAGACAGAGAGCCTGCGTGGCCTGGGCAGGTGTCTTGATGATGGGCAAGGTAATGTGCTGACGTCCCATGCAACCTAAGACAGAAACTCATTTTTCTTTTTAGTAAGGGGGGAGTCTGTTCGGCCCTGACCCCTCTTCCTTGGGTAGCTGTTGCCTTGCTTGCTGACCTTGATCAGATGTCCTCCCTATGCTAATTCCCTGCCGGTTTCATTCCTCCTAAACAGCTTACTGGAGGTTCCTTGTTTGCGTATCCTGCATATTGGTGCAATGCTAGAATGTAAAACATCTGTAGCGAACTTTTGCCCTCCCAGATTCTTCCACTCTGCTGTAAGCCTGTATTTAAGGCTTCTTCCCTCCTTCAATAAAGGGCATTCCACTGAGATGAATTACCCGCTGTCTTGTCTCTGTTTTAATCCTCAGCCCCTTGCTCAGACATGGTGAATGGGTAGTAGGGTGGGTGCTACAGGAATGGGCTCACACTGATTGGAGGCTGAGAAATGCTAGAACTGACCATCTGAAACCTTTGCTGGTGTGGCACAGTCTAAGTTGAGATGTCAAAATCAGGGAGGCTGATGGATGTACCTCTAACTCTTAGTCCATGGCTGAAGACACGAGAGGCTGAGTGAGGAACCACTGATGAAAGGCTGGGAGCCCCAAAGCTGGAAATGTGGGATTCTGCCTGACAACAGAAGAATTCCAGACCCTGGAGGAGTGAGGCGTGCTCCCAAGCTTTGCCTGCCATGGTGCTGCTGCTCTATCAGAGTCTCTCTTGTTCTTTTGTAGTGTTCGCCTTGGTCCCCAGCCATCTTCCATGCCGTCTCATCTCAAGCTGACCCAGTACACTTCACCTCTGCAATGCCCCCTACAGTGAATAGCAGGGCTTTCTACCTTCCCGCCAGAGGCAAGGTCTTGCTTTCTCTTTCACATTCTTCACTGTCTCCCATCAGCTGTTTATTTGCCTTTGAGTCTTATTCATTTTCCACAATACAATCTCTTCATACATTTCCTGTACTCTTCCTGTACAAACCTAATCTAGGCCTCTTTGCTGTGTTACCTACATTATTCCAATAGCCTCCGTGAAGATGGTTAATTTCCTTTGTCAACTTAGCTGGGTTGCAGACTGGCTAACATTTCTGAGTGTGCCTGTAATACTACTTCCAGAAGAAGTTAGCATTTGAATCACTAGATTAGGTAAGTCCTAATGATCTTACCTGATTCAGGTGGGTATCATCTCTCCCAAACAGAGGCCTGAATAGAACAAAAGGGCAGAAAAGTAAATTCTCTCTCCTTACATTGATACTTGAGGTTAGATATTGATCTTTTCCTAAACTTGGACCACAGTTTCTTCATTTTTCACACAGAATATCATGGGAATCAGCTACCATGATACCATAAGCCATAATTAGTCCTACATCTTCCATTGGTCTTGGGTTTTGTTTCTTGGGAAAATTTTACTGATGTATTTCTCCTAATGGCTTTTGTGTTATTTCATCTCTTCTCTCCATCTGCTAGAATGGTGATCTTTAAAAATGAGTTTTCAGTTATCTTCCTCTAGTTACCCCCATTCAGTATTTTCCATTTTGGCTAACAACCAAAATCTTTTCCTCACGCACTTTGTATTGTGGTTGAATGTACCTTTGTTTTTCTTCTCTTCCTTGGATAGAAGCTAAGAGCAGGTACTGTGTGTCTTCAGTTTTGTATTTCTCAAGGTATATAGTAGAGCAGCTTGCTTCACTGAAGGCCTATTAGAAAATTGTACCAAATGGAATGAATGCTATGTACTTTATATTTCTCAGGGCAGATATAATGATTAAATAAAGAAATATGCTGAAAAACATTGACCACAGGGAACTGGCCCATCCTCAACAACTATATCAAAAAGTTCCCTGGGTTATTTACATATTCATAAGTCTGAACTTACCTGAAAATATCAATCATCAATAAACTACTCAATTAAAAAACCCAGTAATTACAGTTAGTATTGGAGAGATAATAAACTCTTTCTAGTCTCAAGAATAGCAGCATACTTTTATAGATGAACTCCAAAGGAGACGGAGGTGGGAAGTAGTCCATAGAGCTAGCAGCAACAAATAGGACAGTATGACTCGATGGGGTTTAGGACTCTCTACAGACAGCTAATGAGCATTTAATGAGCATCCCA